CCACTGGGATCCCTGTCCCACCTTCATCCACACCCAGTGGAATCTCTACCCCGTCTGCCTCCATGTCCAGTGGGATTCCTGTCCCATCCGCATCCCCGTCCAGCGGGATCCCAGCCCCGGCTGCACCCTCACCCAGCTGAGTCCCTGGTGTGTTTATCTCCAAGGAAGGATCCCTGCTGGCAGCCTGCAGCTCCTGGCTGGAGTCTGGGCTGCCCCCGGGCAGGGATTTAGATCCGTTCCCTGCTGGATCTAATGGGGGGTGAGGATTTTCTGTGTGTGGGGCAGCTCCTTCAGCTGCTCCCTGTGGGGCTGGCGATGCTCTGGCTTCATCCAGCTGCAGCTCTGCAGGGGGCTCGGGCTGTGCCATCAGGTTCCTGGGAAGGAGAGGGGATGTGAAGCAGAGCAATGAGTGTAGCAGCTCTCAGCCTTTCCTCCCCACCCTGTGACACCCCAAGAGCCAGGGGGGTCCCACCATGGCCCTGCTGTGACCATCCCTGTGTCACCCACAGGGCTGAGCTCAACACTCCGGTGACAACTTGGGCCCAGACTGTCCAAAACAAGTTTAAAAAACTGCATTTAAACCCTATTAAAGTATCTGACGTCCACGGAGGAGGAGTGAGAGATGCAAACCCAGACCCCAAACCCAAGAACTGCTCCTGTGCAGACCTGCCAGGACCAACCACCCCAGCGGCACCGACCTGAGCGAGCCGTGCGAGCGCTCCCTGGAATTTTCGCGGCGTGGGAATAACCTCACGGCAAGGGAATGCGCTGCTGGGAGCGCGGGCAGGCTCCGGGATGGCCGAGACGGAGCAAAAAGCAAAAACAGCCGCCGCTTTGCAGAGTCATCCGATCGCGGCATTGTCCCCAGCGCGGCACCTGCAGCTGCCACCCCCAAACCCTGTCGCGTTCTCCCGGCCGGTATTTGGGGTGGGATGGACGCTCGGGGACGAGCCGGGGTTTTCCTGGCGCCGCCAGGAGCCGGTGGGATGGGTGGGAGGATGCTCCCACCTCTCGGCCACGCTGCTGAGCTCATGTCTAGTCATTCCCGGAGGAATGAGCGCAGGCTGGCACTCACAGGCAGCCCTCGGCCGGGAGCAACGGCTTTAAGCAAAGAACTGATTTTCCCCGATAGTTTCTCTCCTAATAAGGCAGTTTTCGGCACTGCTGACACATCGCGGCCTCGGACTCGAGGGCCGGCGGCTGGAGAAGGGGCAGCCCCTGCAAAGGTGGGCAAAAGGATCCTCTGCCCCCATTTTCCTCGCCCTCCCCGCTGCCAGCGCTCGTTTTTGGAAGTTCTTGGAGCCGCTTGGCATGGGCAGGACGGGAGGGCGCCGTGTCCCGCCTTCCCAGCGGGCCGGGGGGGCTCTGTCCCTGCCACCAGCCTTCATCCCAGCCCCCCCAGAACTCCTGCGTGCCCCAGAGGAGCTTC